CAGATTAACCTGATTTACATTGAACCCTATGGGAAAATTTGCCTCGGTTCGCGGCCAGAGTCGTCGAACGAATTAAGTTCATGAACGGAAGTATCACTGTATAAGCCACACCTGGCTGATGCCCCTGGAAGCTGGAAATCACTGAGATAGACAACACTACTCCAATGATCTCCACCTGCTTCCAGGTCCAATCCTAAGTGGTTGGCTTGATACAATGTGAACACAGGCGGTTGGCTGCTCGGCATGGACACAATTCAGAGAAGGCTTTTTATTTTCTGAATAAATGCAAAAGCATTCTCTGCTCTGATTGGACAGCGTGGAAAGGTGGGGCAGTGACATCTCACTTTCCACCTCATCCAACTGTGATTTACATTCATTCTCTGAATGGCACCCATGCCGAGCAGCCGACCCCCTGTGTCCTAATTACCACAGGGCAGCACCTCGGCGTGGGACCTGGAAGTTAGTGGAGATGACTGGAGTAGTGGTGTCTAACTCTGCGATTTCTAGCTTTTAGGGGGCCAGCCAGGTGTGGCATATACATAGTTACATTGGTCCAAGCCAACTATTACGACTCAATTCTGATGCGGCTTTTAGTGCGATCATGTAGTGCGACCATGATGCAACTTCAGATATGGCTAGCATTTTCTTTGGAGCCAAATGGCACCAAAGTAGCACAGGAACCTATTTCAAAATCGCACGGCACAAAGTTGCATTGATGTGAAGCGGCACCAATCAACATAATGTGATTTCCCTTATCATGCGACTCAAATCACATCAGAAATCGCACCAGCATGAACCAAACCTTAAACAACTAAACTTTCAAGACCATTTAGTAATCCCAGTATCATAATAAATTGTATCATATCTAACAATTTTATACTAACAAATACAACAGTTCAAGAAAAGAGAAATGTCTCCAAATAACGTCTCTCCAGCCAGCGTGTATACAGTATCTTCCAGAAGTGAGCACACACCTCACATTTTTGTAAATATTTTATTCTATCTTTTCATGTGACAACACTGAAGAAATGCTACAATGCATAGTAGTGAGTGTACAGCTTGTATAACATGTACATTTGCTGTCCCCTCAAAATAACTCAACACACAGCCATTAATGTCTAAACCGCTGGCAACAAAAGTGAGTACACCCCTAAGTGAAAATGTACAACTTGAGCCCAATTAGCCATTTTCCCTCTCAGGGTCATTTGACTCGTTAGTGTTACAAGGTCTCAGGTGTGAATGGGGAGCAGGTGTGTTAAATTTGGTGTTATCGCTCTCACACTGGTTGTTCAACATGACTTCTCATGGCAAAGAACTCTCTGAGGAGTTGGAAGAAAAAAAAAAAATAAATATAATAATAATGGCTGCTCTACATAAAGATTGCCTAGGCTATAAGAAGATTGCCAAGACCCTGAAACTGAGCTGCAGCATGGTGGCCAAGACCATACAGCTGTTTAACAGGACAGGTTCCACTCAGAACAGGCCTCGCCATGGTCAACCAAAGAAGTTGAGTACATGTGCTCAGCGTCATATTCAGGTTGTCTTTGGGAAATAGACATATGAGTGCTGCCAGCATTGCTGCCGATGTTGAAGGAGTGGGGGGTCAGCCTGTCAGTGCTCAGACCATATGTAGCACACTGCATCAAACTGGTCTGCATGGCTGTCGTCCCAGAAGGAAGCCTCTTCTAAAGATGATGCACAAGAAAGCCTGCAAACAGGTTGCTAAAGACAAGCAGACTAAGGCCATGGATTACTGGAACCATATCCTGTGGTCTGATGACACCAAGATAAACGTATTTGGTTCAGATGGTGTCAGGCGTGTGTGGCGGCAACCAGGTGAGGAGTACAAAGACAAGTGTGTCTTGCCTACAGTCAAGCATGGTGGTGGGAGGTTCATGGTCTGGGGCTGCATGAGTGCTGCCGGAACTGGGGAGCTACAGATCATTGAGGGAACCATGAATGCCAACATGTACTGTGACATACTTAAGCAGAGCATGATCCCTTCCCTTCAAAGACTGGGCCGCAGGGCAGTATTCCAACATGATAACCTCAAACACACCTCCAAGATGACCACTGCCTTGCTAAAGAGGCTGAGGGTAAAGATGATGGACTGGCCAAGCATATCTCCAGACCTAAACCCTATTGAGCATCTGTGGGGCATCCTCAAACTGAAGGTGGAGGAGCACAAGGTCTCTAACATCCACCAACTCTGTGATGTCTTCATGGAGGAGTGGAAGAGGACTCCAGTGGCAACCTGTGAAGCTCTGGTGAACTCCATGCCCAAGAGGGTTAAGGCAGTGCTGGAAAATAATGGTGACTACACAAAGTATTCACACTTTGGGCCCAATCTGGACATTTTGACTTAGAGGTGTACTCGCTTTTGTTGCCAGAGGTTTAGCCATTAATGGCTGTGTGTTGAGTTATTTTGAGAGGACAGCAAATTTACATGTTATACAAGCTGTACACTCACTAGTTTACATTGTAGCAAAGTGTCATTTCTTCAGTGTTGTCACATGAAAAGATAGAATAAAATATTTACAAAAATGTGAGGGGTGTACTCACTTCTGGGAAATAATGTAACTGGATCTTCTTTGTGTCATTACATTATAAAAACAAGATCAAAGAAAAAAAAAACAGAAGAATCAGCACAAGGGACAGAACTTACAAGATTTGTCCCTTGTGCTGAAGCCTCTTCTGGTAGTAGAAATCCTCCTCTGTCCTTGCCCTCCCCATCCCCCGCAGTCTTCCAGTGTGGATGCTGGGGAATGTTGGGGCAGGGGCCACACTGACAGGGATAGACCACAGATACCTGCCATAGCTGACCTGCTCCTGAGAATTCTGGCAGGCTGTCATACTCATCCCCTGGCTTCAATATTCCCAGTCTCTGTCCTGGAACATAACTGATGGTAACAGTAGTGTGATCTTCATATGTGTCCCAAGTCATAGACTCAGAGGACGGAAGCAATTCCATCAAAAGGCCATCCAGGCAAATAGCAACTTCACAGCAATAGCAGCCCCCAGTTTTCTCTTATGGCACGTTACCAGCAGACCTCATCATGTGGAATAGAGGCTTTGTATGAACAATCAATGGGCAACAGCTTAGGACTCTCACCTCCACCTGTCTGCTCTCACGCGCCGCAGGTCACACGTTTACCCGGGCAACCCCAGCAGCCCATACAGAGGCACATGGAACACTTCCGAGTACGGACAATTCTCTCTGCCCCACTTCCGAGTACGGACAATTCTCTCTGCCCCACTTCCGAGTACGGACAATTCTCTCTGCCCCACTTCCGAGAACGGACAATTCTCTCTGCCCCACTTCCGAGTACGAGCCCCAAGTACGGACAATTCTCTCTGCCCCACTTCCGAGTACGGACAATTCTCTCTCCCCACTTCCCTCTCCGCCCCACTTTCGGTCCGGGATTGGACACGTTTCCTAGAAAAAAAATAGTATGATTATTTCTTTCTACTCATGGCGAACACGCTCTATTAAGTATATTAAAATGCAAATACGAACATTTCGGAGTACTGTGGCGTTATTAGCAAAATCTGGTGAAAACTCGACCTTCTTCCGGCGGAAGTGATTGTCCTTTGGAAGTGCTGGAGCTCCACCTTGTGGCTGGTTGAGCTGAGATAGGCTGTCACTAGTACCAGGAAGACGTGGAAGGCATGGCAGCTAGTACTGGAGCTGACAAACCCACGGTCAGGGAGATCTTCACCTCCATGCAGTATGGACCGGCTCCAGAGGCTGCCAACATCGCACAGGTGAGGAGGACATGCTGGGGCCTGATGGATGGGGTGTTCTAATATTGGAGGTGTCCTGTTGCAAGGGGTGTTCTAATATTGAGGGTGTCCTGGTATTGGGGGTGTTCTGATATTGGGGGTGTCCTGATATTGGGGGTGTCTGATGCAAGGGGTGTTCTGGTATTGGGATATTGGGCTTCTTGATGGATGTGGTGTTCTGATATTGAGGGTGTCTTGATGGATGGTGTGCCTTGATGGGTGGGCTGTTCTGATATCGGGGGGTGTCTTCATGGATGGGGTGTTCTAATATTGAGGGTGCCTTCATAATTGGGATGTTCTGATGTCGAGGGTGTCTTGATGGATGTGGTGTTATGTTATTGAGGGTGTCTTGATGAGTTGGGTGTCTTGATTGGTGGGGTGTTCTGATATTGGATGTGTCTTCATGGATGGAGTCTCCTGATGCTGGGGGTGTCAATGGATGGGGTGCCTTGATGTGTGGGTGTTCTGATATTGGGGCTGTCTGGATTGATGGGGTGTTCTAATATTGGTTGTGTTTATGGATGGGGTGTCTTGATAGTGGGGTGCCTTCATGAATGAGGTGTCTTAATGGATGGGATGTTCTGATGTCGGGGGTGTATTAATGGATGTGGTGTTGTGTTATTGAGGGTATCTTGATGGGTGGGGTGCCTTGATTGGAGTGTTCTGATATTGGGGGTGTCTTCATGGATGGAGTGTCTTGATGTTGGGGGTGTCAGTGAATGGGGTGCCTTGATGTTTGGGTGTTCTGATATTGCGTGTGTGTAGATTGATGGGGTGTTTTAATATTGGTGGTGTCTTGATGGATGGGGTTTTCTGATATAGGGGGTGTCTTCATGAATGCGATGTCTTCATGGATGGGGTGTTCTGATATTAGGGATGCCTTCATGGATGGGGTGTCTTGATAGGAGGGATGCCTTCTTGAATGAGGTTTCTTTATGGATGGGATGTTCTGATGTTGGGGGTGTCTTGATGGAGGTTGAGAGTCCTTCTGGGTAGGGTGTCCTGATGATTGTGGAGTCCTGATGGAAGGACAGTATCCTGATAGAGCAGCGGTTCTCAACCTGGGGGTCGCGACCCCTTTGGGGGTCGAAAGACACTTTCCCAGGGGTCGCCTAAGACCATCGGAAAACACATATTTCCGATGGCCTTAGGAACCGAGACACCGCTCCTTGATCCGTCTCCAGGTGTGGGCGGGATGACATGCCGTCCCTGTCATTGGACACACCCCCGGGATCAATCCTTCCTCGTCGGTGATTGGCCGTCGGAACTGTAGCTCAGGAGAGGCACACAGGCGGCCAATCACCGGCGAGGAGGTGGAGCTTGGAAAGGAGGAGCCGAGCGGCACCGCGAACATCGAGTGAAGAGGAGGAGAGCGGCCGGAGAAGGAAGACATCTGACCGGTAAGTGTGTACCATGGGAGAGGGAGGGAGCGAGCTAGCCCAGGCTGGAGCAGGGGTCAGCAAGGTAAGTATCATTGGTGTCAGTGGGAGGAATAGCGCCCCATCATTGGTGTCACTAATACCAATGATGGGGCACTATTCCTCCCCCACTGACACCAACGATGGGGCACTATTCCTCCCACTGATACCAATGAAGGGGCACTATTCCCCCCACTGACACCAATGATGGGGCACTATTCCCCCCACTGACACCAATGATGGGGCACTATTCCCCCCACTGACACCTATGATGGGGCACTATTCCTCCCACTGACACCAATGATGGGGCACTATTCCTCCCACTGACACCTATGATGGGGCACTATTCCTCCCACTGACACCTATGATGGGGCACTATTCCTCCCACTGACACCAATGATGGGGCACTATTCCTCCCACTGACACCAATGATGGGGCACTATTCCTCCCACTGACACCAATGATGGGGCACTATTCCTCCCACTGACACCAATGATGGTGCACTATTCCTCCCATTGACACCAATGACGTGGCACTATTCCTCCCACTGCAAAATTACAGTTATGAAGTAGCAACGAAAATAATTTTATGGTTGGGGGTCACCACAACATGAGGAACTGTATTAAGGGGTCCGGCATTAGAAAGGTTGAGAACCACTGTGATAGAGATTGGCCAGGGATGGTCCTGCTCTGTCTGCTGACATAAGTGGGTGTTCCCCCTGAGGTTTCAGTAGAGGACATATCTGATTTATGGTGTACAGCTGCCAGTAGTTTACAATTTTGAAGGCCACTTTGATATACTCATCAGTGTGATTCCTTTATCTTTTCAATGTTTTGCACAGCCAGTCCTATGTCTGTACAGAGTTATGCTGTAATGATGAGCAGTATGAACTTTCTGAGACAGATGTCAGTGAGAACTGAACTTCTGCATCCCATACAGCTGGCAGATAGACTCTGAATTGGAAATGGTATATCGGGGGCTAAGGTATATAGATTGCCTGAATCGGTTCTGTTGACAGAGACTGTACCAGCTCATAGAATATGGAGTGACTGGAGAGTTCGGAGATAATTATGCGTCTGATTGGTGAGACAATTCAGTGTTTGAAAAGTCATGTGATGGGCAGTCAATGTCTTCATTTTCAGTGTGACAGTTATTATTACATTTTCCTGACTTCCTGTAACATTTGCAGACGCACCACATGTGAGGATAATTGGGGGGGGGGGGGGGGTTCTCTATAGTATTTTAATTAAACATAGGCTGTATGTAAAGAGACAGAATAATTGCATTGAGCCACTAAGAGCTCCCTCTACTGACTAACCTGCAAATCTCTGTAGTTCCTAAAAAGAAAAATTATGAAGAAGCAAGCCTTTGAAATGTGAATGTTTTTTAAAATTCACATTTAGGTGGAACTAAACCTATTTGAATCAATTTATCAGTCTCCCAAAACCGTTGCATTCAAGGCATGCTGTGAATGATAACTGTCACACTTGCTTATGCTCTCAATTGAACTGTCAAGCCATCCAATGACTGGTGTCATAACCGATCACGTGCAGCACCATGGCAACTGCAGATCAAATAGAGGCTACGATGGCAGCTTTCATGGTTGTAAATGAAAGGAGGGTTTAGTTTCCCTTTAAATTAAAATGGAGGAAAAGCATAACACTAACTAATCCTAAAAAGTTTCTTCCCCATGTAAAAAAAAAAAACCAAATCTGTGTATTTACCCTTTTAATTTTGCTTCGGTCCAGTCATGTGAGATCCTTCAGCTTCCCTTTGTCAGTGAGTGGCTGCTGCAGGGGAGAAGATGGCAAGTACACACATCAGCTCCTTTATTTAAGCTTTGAAAATGAAAGCTAGAAGCTGATTGGTTACCATGCACAACTGCTCCAGGTTCTGGCTGATCCCGTCTTAGTAAATTCCCCTCATTGTGTTTTTCCTTTGTTGGCCTCAGACATAACAGTACCCTTTTTTAGTTTAGTTAAGTATGGTGTGAGGGCCCCCGTGAAGGATCCAATCAGTTTCTATCCAGTCGGGTAGATATGTGCCATACACAGATGTTGGGAAATCTAAGGGCTTATGTACATAGAAAGTTCTGAGGCTTCCCTCTACCGCTTAAAGTGGCATTTTACAACCTGTTAAAAAAATAATGTTGTTTATTAAAGAACTTGCATTCCACACTAATCATTCTGCTACTAAAACAGTGTGTGCTGTAAATGACCTCCAGTATTGCTCCGGTTTCTTCTCGCTGGAGGCTGCCGTATGGCTGAATCGCGGAGCACCTGAGCAGCAGTAAATCTTTAGGCTGTCAGCAGATCAGCCTTTACAAATTCAGCACAGTGCCGAAGAATAGAGAGCAACTGAGCATGTGCAGAGCAGGGTGAGATAGTGTACTACTGAGTATAGGCACTTCTCTTTAATGTTTCACATAGTAGACCTGCAAAAGGGGCCAGCCTGAAGTGACCTAGCAGGACCTACATTTGTGACTGAAGTTCCACTTTAATCCTGGGCTTTATTTTTTTTTTCTTTTTGTGAATAGTCCTCTAGCCTGTTAAACATGTATTTCAGGTTGTAGTCCTGACGTTGGTCTCCCACAGTACCTCATTTCTTCCAAGACACCCAGCAGCAGAACTCAATCCGGACTTCTAAGGAGATGCAGAAAGATCAGAGCACCATGGTCCCACCCCCGAGGGGACATGATCATGCGTCCTTTATTAGCAGTGCACTGATACAGTGAGAGATGAGGTCATAAGACTGGCCATTTCTGAAGCCAGCAATAAAAAATATAGCAGTGGAAGGCATCTGGGTGGGGGAGGCCCTCAGGCTACGTTCACACGAGCTTTGTCAGCAGGCGTCAGACAGGCGTTTGTGAAGCATTTTTAAAGCTTCTCAAATGCCTATGAAAATTCTGCACATGGCAGCACACAGTGCTGTTCACATGGAAGCGTTAGCGTCGCAGCAAAACTGACGCCTCTTGTGGAGTCAGGAGGAGTTGAAGCCTCCCATTCAAGTCTATGGTGCCGCTCTGCAAACGCCTGCCAGGCGTTTGCGATGTGGTTGCAGAGCGTTAATACCATTTAACTTCATTTTAGGAGTTTGTGGGGCAAAACACCCATCAACAGCCTGAAAACCGCGCATAGGTCGTTTTGGGAGCGTTTGAGGAGCATTAAAAACGTTTCCCAAACGCATGTCAAACGCTGTAGGGTGTTTGGCGAGAGTTAGAAATAAAGTCAAGTGTGAACGAGCCCTAATTGGGGAGCGGGGTTCACCTACTATTGCAGATCGTATCTGAATAAGTTTGCTTTACATTTAATGCAGGACAGATGCAGCTTCCTGCTCTAATCAAAGGCAGAGCTGGACAGCAACACTCATATGCATTTTGGGGGGTGGTAAAAGCAGGTGATTGAGCTGTGGTTTTACCGCTCCCTCAAACCACCCACCTAAACAAAGAATTGCAACCACGCGGTCATATCGCATTCGGTGAACACGATCCATTCAAGTTAATGGGGCTGCACTGTAATCACCCTGCAACTGTTTGTAATACATGTGGCTACAGTGCGGTGGGTCATGATTTTGAGGATTAAGGGCTCGTTCAGAAGGGTGCTGAGACTTCTCCTCTGTGCTGTGCTGCTTTTTGGTGCGTATGCATCCACCTTGGAACTGCATGCAGGTAGAAGTGAGTGCAAACACTGTGCGTTTGGATCCATGTACCTTCTCCTGCCTGCATGCCAACATTTGACATGTAACTGTGTCTGTGCAGCCTATGCATCTGCATCCACTTCTATAGCTGCTAGAGATGCACCCATACCCTTTTCTTACCAGCGAGCACGAGTATTGATACTTTCGGACAGGTACCAATACTTTGCAGTGTGATTTGTGTCCATACAAAAAGGAATGGGCGCAAATTGCACTGCACAGAAAGGCATGCGATTTGAACAGGAATGCAGTGCGATTTCTGTCTGAATCACATGCGGGCGGCTTTTTCTCCTCTCCTTGCAGGGATGACCGTACGGGCTAGATTGCTTCTGATTGGTCCAGCAGTGTGACAGTGCTGAACAATCAGACGCTGTCTAGCTCTCTGCAAGTAGAGGAGAGAAAGCTTCAGGGATTTCAAATCCCCAGACCTGTAAAGCAGCTTTTAGTTGTGTGACAACATGAGATTGGTGCAGGAAGGTTTCTACACCACTTCAGTGTGAACTTGGGCTATGACAAGCCTGGGTTCACACAGGAGTGCTGGGGAAACCGCATGCGATTTGGACAGGAATGTGAATGGCACCGCATTCCTGTTCAAATCGCATGCCATTCCTGGAAGTGCATTTTGCTCCAATTAATTTTGTACGGACGCAAATTGTACCACAAAGTATCAATGAAAAATACTTGGTATCAGCACCAATATTGCTGCATCCCCAATGGCTGGTTCACATTATTGTGGGCTCTGCATGTTCCCAACCCACAGCCAAACATGCGACTCTTTAGCAGATGTGCCAGGCTGCTACTAAATTCTTTATTCTGTTTTTAATTTCTTTGCAAAGTGGCATGGTTTTACATGTGTGCCACAGCACCATGCAGTTTGGCGCAGTGAGATTTCAAATAAAAAAAAAAAAAAAAAAAAAAAAAAAAAAAAAGACCAGGGACTTCTTTTTCTGCAGTAGGGCATCTTGTTGAAATGAATAGGCTTCCTGTATGCAGAACGCACATCGCAGAAGTGTGAACTAAATGCTTGTGTACACTGGAATGATGTGCGGGAGAGCAGCGTTTCTAAGCTGCTTACGCATTCTGATTGCAATGCCCTTGCGATCTGCTGTGGGGGTTAAAGGTAATGACACCCCGACGCAGGTCACAAACGCACCAAACCGCATGGTGCAAAGCACCATGTGATGCTGTTGCCGTGCGTTTAAAAAAAAAAAAGTAGAGCATGCACTACTTTAAGTGCTCGGTCATACCAATACAACTTGTCATGTGATTTGATAGGTTTAAATCGCATGACAAGTCACACCATATTCTCGGGAATTGAAGCGGTCATATCGGCGCGATCTCGACTTGGTCGGAGTCGCACCGATTTTGAAAGTAGTGCAAGCACTGCTTTTTTGCAAGTTCAGGTGCAACTTTTAGACACCTGCTCACAG